GGCCATCGTCCAATACAGGGTCTTGACAAAGATACTAATGGGATTTCCCCTCAGCGACGACAGCCATCCAATCAGTAATGGTGTATCTACTAACTTTCAGGAAGATCATAATTATATCGAGTCCATGCAATACACTATGTTCTCCAGAGGACACGTTTACTGCTTTGAGCTCATGCGTTGCGTGTATTACATCTCATCGGAAACTTTTCAATTCTTTCTTCATTGAATGACAAATTTTGAACAATTAATGTAAAACTACTCTGGTCACATCAGTTTGAGAAGATTGAATTTCTCCTTGACTTCAACTGAAGAAGACAGTCCAAATTTTGCAATTATCTCCAAAATAAATTTCCGTCTTCCATTTTATTAGTTAGTCATTCCTATGACAACTCTAACGACATTATCCGAGAATCACCAAATAGAAGAGGTCAATAACAACAGAAATGACTTTTTATGTAGTATAGATTTGGATGAAACGAAATCTACTAGTGATGGTGAAAAATGCAGCTGTAGCTAAAGTGAGTATTCAGTCACACAGTGGAATTCCTGAATCTAGTAAGGAATTTGAAGATAATATTCGCGTTCTGTAAGATGTTGCTTGTTCCGACAGTAGATTATGGAAAAGGGTTTTGGCGAATGCGTTTTGGTGTTCGAGATTCAGTGCATCTAGTCATTTTTTCTGTCCTGAAAACCTGCTTATGAAATGTTCCAGCCGTGGTATATAGTCATAGACTCTATTAGTAAGTGAGATACTTTAAAATGCCATGACTTCTATTTAATGCATTATCGTAAATTTCAAACAACCTGAACAAGATGAGATCACTCGCTACAAAAAAATGGATTGATATATTAAAAGAGAATTAATATAAGCAGCTTGACTTGTAACAAAGTTAAAAACAGATCCATCATATGCAATACACCTTATTAGGTACAGGCAGCTTCTCTCTCGATCGGTATTTCCGCCCAGCTCTGACTGTTTGAATCCAGAACACATCTTCGAAAGTATGAATCACGTATTTTAGACATACTTGGTTTATATACAAACAAACCAGACCTCAACACACCATGAAATAGAAAACAGAAATTTTACAAGATCATGCTCAATAGTGGCTCTGATTGTGAGATACTATAACTAATAAATTAAGTAAAACTTAAGAATAGTGGTGGTGCTACACTAGCTGTCTTCGTCTATATTTGCTGTTTTGGATGACATAGCAGGGACAAGTTATATGAAAAGCTTAAATTATCCAACTGAGACTAAGTTGTCTACTATGTTTCACGCTTTCTGTGAGATGTAACGGTCCCATAATACATTCAGCTGTTGACAAACAGAGAATAGGCGTAAGTAGACAGTCTTTTCTGAAACTAGTCTTCACCTGGAATGCATCAACGAGCTGCTATGGATCCATGAATTCGCAATTCACTCCCTCATCGGGTTCGTATAAAGGCAACGATATTTTGAGATATTGTGCAGTTTCTAAAATGATTCTACAAGATTTTCCAGTGTACGCTTTTGATAAAAGTAAAAACAAAATCATAGAAGGAATCATATATTAAATACTTCACATATATGTGAGGAATGCATTGTTAAATAATACTAAATATATATCAGATTAAATATTCCAGAAGATTGACTCATTTACTTTGATAGTTTTAACTGAATCACTCTACTTGTAACGAAGATAAACATACGCAAATAAACGAACCCACCAATATACATGAACAAACACATTGCACATACACACTTGACTGAAATGTTCCGTTATCAAGAAATAAAACATCTGATGCCTTGTTCCAATACAACGAAATGAAATACCAATGTTCAGTTTGTAATATAATAGAACATCCTGACTATATTGTTTGAGTGAACACATAGTCTATTATACTATTCATCGAACTCCTCTACATATCTAGAATATGCTAACTGAAACTATCCAGTAAACAACTCATATTTAGTACTCAAGTAAGCATAGCTTCGGTACATTTGGAAAATAATTGCCAATCATAAATTCATCACGTTACTAATCATACTTCTAAAGACGATTTTAGATACACTCACGTAAAGACACACATAAGCAATCTTAGATCTCATCTCACCCATTAGCTATCCTGTCAGTGATTACCGAAATAATTTGAATCGAGTGGTATACGGACAACGTGCACTCGATGGAACAAAGTGAAGCTTAAATTATTGTCTTTTCATGCATACATACATACCTGCATACAAACTTACATACACATAAATATATTTACATATGTAGGCAAATGAATTGTTTGGGTTGAACTGGTTGACATCAGGTGTGAGCACATGTTTGCTTTGAAAGACAACTTCCACGAGCATGGTCGAATGCATGCAGTCAGAAACAATTTGACAGCAAACGACAATGCAAATCTTCACTGTATGTTGAAGTAGTGTTGTGTGTAATAATATATGCCTGATCGGTGTTTTTATTTCAGCTCATCTTATTTGTACTTGTTGTGTCATTCGAATGTCATAACTCAGGTGAATCTTACTCGATCGCATAACATGAAGTTGCCACTTACTGACATGTAATTTCAAAAGTATCTCATCTGCTGTCTTATTCAGTCATCACTTAAACACAACAATGTTGTGTCATGTGTTCAAGTGAAGCAAAGTGAAGTGATGCCAAGTCAAGAAGACTGAAATGAATAGTAATGCGCTGTGTTGTTGATTCGTGGAACAACATGTAGTGAAGTGACCAGAGTTGAAGTGGGCTGAATGGAGGTGTAGGCACATGATTTTTTTGTTTTGCTCTGTCACACTCAATATGAATCATATGTGTTATTTCGTTTTCAGTGAATGCAGAACAAGCACCAACATTGGACGAGCAGAGTGGTTATTGTGCTGGTGCATGCTTTCAATGACCTAGATCCTGTGAATGTCATGGATGCCGCGGTGGAGATTGCTCCGGAGGATGCTACAAAAACTGTCACCGTAATTAACAACACTGACAGTCATATCCATTCAGTATACAATGAAGAAAACCCACTACCGAGTATGTAGTTTCTAATCTCTCTACGAAATATACGAAACCAATAATGTCCCTCTTTTCCCCTCAAATTGTCCATTGGCCTATTTATTGACCTATTCTCCGTCTGCAACTAGTCTGATTTGTGTGTATAAGTCGTTAAGCTGATTAGTCAATATTTCATTTCAATAAAAGACACCACAAATCCACTGATAGTCATCATTACTCACTCCAGAATGAATAAATCTATGCATGAACGCACATACCATCATCAGCACACACATAAAATCTAACACACGTTATCACAAATTCTTGAGCTATGACATGAGACTTCCGAGGTCTTGACACGTAATCAATGCAAATTCACGTAATGCTCATTGTCAGAATAACTGCATTACCGTTTCATCCAAAGAATACGTTTATTCTATCGACCTATTTTTCGAATATAACTGACCTGAATTATTTTGATTTGCCAAGATTTTTTCAGTATCAACAGACATCGTTATAAGAGTTTATGGAAATTTCTCAGTTTCATAGTTGACTAAGTTCACTCAATGATATTAACAATAAAATCACCGGATATATTACCAATACATGTCTGTGGGGATTTAGCAAAGATAAATAAATAAATATAGAACCCCAGCTTACAAGAAAATTCAAAAGTACTTTCTCAAAACTCTCTCTCAATATCCAGCACCAATACACACAACACACATCCAAAGCTTAGTTGAACAAATCCAAATTACCTGACTATTTGGAAATTTATTTCGGTGTGTATTAACTTCCATTTGGAGTGATCTCTACTCTGATTCACCAGCGCGTTCATAAATTTTTTAACGTCGCACACACGTATATCTCTATTTGGAGTAAGTGCTTGGGAATATTTTGTTGATGTAGCAGGATTAGTGTCAACGAACAACCATAACAATCATCAAGGTGACTTGAATCCTTATTCTACACCTATTTGTCAAAAGTAATTAGAAGACAGATAATTTAAAAGTCTTACATAAACGAACTCTGTAACGTACACTGACATGTGGGACAACCAATTTTTGAGCATTTATCCCACTAACCTTTTCCTCTCTTTGTTCGCCAATGAAGTGCAACTTTCTTTTCTTTCTCAAACAACGTAGTTTCCGAATCATATATGAATAATTAAATAACCCACTGAAGGTGTTTACAAATTAACATAACATTAGTGAAAACAATGGTTTCCACTGATTAATTATATTAAAGTATGGTATATACCTATGATTTCAACAATGAAAATACTGAAATCTCCACAAAACCATTCTGATTATAATCATATGCTCACTAGTGACTGACTTCAAGATACATATCCTGGAGTTCTAATGGAAAGCGGTGACTAGTGGAGTTCAACCATGTCTGTTTTGAGATAACAACTCACTGAAGACAATTGGTGAACGGTTGCTCAAACTTCGTGGATTGGTTGAAGTCAGACATTAACACCGTTGGATGACGGCTCAGTCGTCTATCAGTTAAGTGCTCTGGCGCGAGACTCGTCGGTCCTGGGTTCGAATCTCCTGAGTGTGGGATCGTGGACGCGCACTACTGAGGAGTCCCATAATAGGACGAAACGCGCGTCCAGGATTCCACTGCTAGCCACTATCCATCTTTGCTTATCACAGGTTAGTTACAATTATGATCGTTATAAATGCTTGAAAAAAATGTATCCAAATCGCATAACTTCGTTTTCATAAAGGTAAAGTATATATTTGATCAAACAGGACTGAAGTACTTATAAATAAGAACAAGACAGAAGATTCATAAAAATATTTATAATACAGTTTTGTCTTCATTATCGAATATATATATATATATATATATATATATATATATATATATATATATATATATATATATATATATATATATATATATATATATATAGGTTAAACAAAATCGGTTCAATTTTATATACAAACAATATTCGTTAGCTCTCAGTACGTTAACTGGATATTTCTACCTTCTTACTGATGAAGTTTACTTGATCTGAGAAGTGGTAGTAGAGACCTTTAAAAGATGAAAAGTAAATATGATGTACTAAAATGAGTATAATTTACAGTTTTTAGTCACTTGTTAAGATAGAAAGCAATAAGTTAGATTTAGTAAGTACTTTTTTCAACAAAATATTTTCAATGACTATAACACATGTATTTCATTTACAGACTCAGATAATGACGTTGATTTTATTGTTTCCATGCTTCTATTTCTTATCGCTTGAATTATTGTTAGTAGTACATAAACACATATCATCATATAAATTATATAATGATTATGATATACTGAACGAAGCGGACTTTTTCTTGTTGCATTATATTAGCCGATTGTATGATTAATGCCTTAGGTCATGTTGTTGGCCTGATACACATATCCGTAGAAGGTATGTGTTGCAAATATTTTATTGCTCTGTATTCCGCCCTTTTATCTTTTCTGAGTCTGTTGTATTCATTCAAATATGCTAAGTATATACATGATGTTTTCTCATCCTCACTTAATCACTTCAAGATCCCAGTAATTTGTGAAGTGGATCAAAAAAACGAGGAAGTCACATCAATGAATTTTGTTGGCACCGAAAAACATACAGAAAAACGGTAATTTAAGGGAGACTAACTGTGGTGTTTGTATGAACTAATGATTTCTTTTGTACTTGATGACTGCCTAATTTCGAATTTTAAATACAATGGATCATTTGCGCTCATCCAGTTCTAATTACTGTAAATTGCAGTATTTCGAGAATTCCTAGTTAGTATAATAATTCAAATACTCCTAATAATCACACTACAAGCTGAACACATCCCCGAAGAAAAGTACTAACATATATAAGTTGACATTAAGTATATTTTTCTCCATCTTTCAAATCTCAGTCAGATTGTATTGATTTCCAACAATAGACGTTAAAGTGAGACACATTTTGTAAACAAGCGGTCGCCACTCATCTGACATCACATAACTTTTCCATAAGAATCAAAAGATACAAAACAATAAACATTACAAAACACAAATTCGTATGTGGGGGGATGAAAACTCGATTGCTATAACAGTTCCTTTGTTTATTCTTCTGGGGTTAAATTTTTAAAGAAATAGCGAATATTTAGATAGCGGTACACGTTATTCGAAAAAGTGAAGAAGTGAAAAATGAACAAAATCCCGACTGCTTCTGACTAAAAATACACAAATTACAGTTTATTGTAATTACTCACAGATCAACTATGATTGTTAGAACCAAGATTCCACTAACAACAATAAATACAGTCGGAGGAAATATAGTAACAGTGGCTGCATATAAAGCTGGTAAGGTGGTGAAAGTAATGACGAATCCAATACGAGCAAAGAATCCTCCAAATGATTGAATCATTCCTGTGTAAAAACAAAATTCAATTTTTTATTATCACAATTTTTGGATTGGGTCTAAGCATAGAAATACAATTCTCAGTCAAACGTTTATTGTTCATATTAAGAAGTCAAAATTAACTTATTGTTTGATATAAAGTGCAAAGCATATTTGCTAATATCAATGTATGACTGTAGTACGAATTCTAGTGTCAGAGACACGTCTATGAAAATAAAATCTGAATAATATGAATCAATGTTGTGAGAGTTTTAAGGAAATATGCTCACACTAAGTGATTTTAATGGATAGTGCTTAAATTAGCAACTTCAATCTACGGTTTCATATACGGAAGATAGCATTTTGTAAATGAAACAATGTTCATCATACAATACTACTTGGTATTTTGAGTATCGTTTCTGTTTTGGCTGGAATAAAAATTCGAATACAATATCTCAAAAGTTGTTAAGAATTCGGGCTGAATGCAAATGAAAATAGACTGAGTTATGTGAATATTTGAATTGTTTGTGGTAATTTACGTACAAGACAGTATTAAAATAATAGACATCATATGATCATTAATAATCGGGTAAATTAATCTTGATAATAAAACTGTTTCCATGTGTTATTTAGGCGATATCTAAATCGGTAAAACTCTTTTATCTATCCGATCAGAAGATGTCAAAAAAATATGCAATAGAATATTGTATTTAACACAACTAACTACTAAAAGATGAGAGGAAAATTCACCACCGATTTTGTGCACCTTTTATGAAGAAATTAGGCGATAATATATGAAAGTCAGTAAATATAAACCGTACTATCATTCAAAATTCATATTGATTTGAGCAGGAAGTTTTGTGTAGATCTTATAAACATGTACGATACAAAACAGGAAAAAGCCTTCCTGTTCGTCTAATTTAACTAAAACACTGATTGTAACTTACCTTGATTGTCTGGTGGTGTGCATAGTGAAAACATTGAGCGTGCAATTGGTGTGATGAAACTTTTTGATAGTCGAGGAATGGCAGCTGTTAAAAAAATAAAAGATAATGACTGATTCTCATTGAAGACCGAGAAAATCTGTATTGTTGTTAGATCCTAATACGGAACTCCACTGGAGTGATCATCTACAGTCCTAACATCCTTAGAACCCGTTGATTTCAGGTTTCGTAGTAAAAGCTTGACTTCTAGACCACTTAAACGTCATACAATGACATACATGTCTGACTACATGCGTTTCGCAACATTACGTGATAATAATTTTTAATAACTAATTATTTTAGCCATCATAAGGCTGAACAGTTAACAACCAATTATCGAGTTTTAAAATTATTGTCAATTTTGTACTCTCAGATTTTAGTTAACTGACCGTAAAAATCAGGAAACATTGGACGGCTGTTCTGTCCCATTTTGAGACTCCTCAACACTGAATCCACGACTCAAAAGAAGATCACACTCATAATATTTAGAAGAGCATTACTATTTTCAAATGAAGTCCAATTTTTCGACTATCATTCCGAAGATAGCAAATTTCGACTTAATATTAAGGATTAAACCTAGTCGAGAGCTCGCTCGTCAGAACTACAATTTATTAGAGAATATTTAAAAACTAGATAACCCGAGTCCATCGCAGCAACAACAGACTATATTTCAACATACTCATCAAAATAATCTCCATGTCTTGTTTTCTTGTCATGACATGTCGTTTATCTAAGTTGACAGTAATTGTAGAGTGATTAATATACTCCAAAGATATAATTATAAGTTAACTTCCCTAAACTATTCAACCGTCAATTAATTATTAACATGCTTTTATATTCTCTCCTAAAATATGTAATAATGTCTTGCTTACCAATAATTTGCCGATATATTAACGTCCAATATGGTGGAGAGAATGTTCAATTAATAATCTTAATTATAATTTATTTTTAAAACTTTTTAAAAACAATAAAAAATTTTCCACCTACCCATATAAGCAATAGTTCTTGCTGTTTCTTGTGTAAATTGATGTGCAAGACCCATCATTATCTTGTTTATTGTCATTAATAATAAAGTAACTGCTAATGTAAATATCATCATTCTCATATTCCGTAAGAAAACGTTTCGTGATTTATCATTTGTACATTCTTGTTGAGATATATGATTATCATTTGTTACTGATTTTTGTTTCATACTTTTTCTTTCACGAATTTTAACAACAATAATGATATATGTAACCCCGACAACAGATGATATGAAATCACTGATACCACTGAAAAACATATTCAATGAATTCAGGATGGATAGAGTTCAAAAATTGTACATGTTAATTTAAAATAATGTAAAAGTTTTATTCATATAAGCTATTTTAAAATACATATTTACAGCTAATGGATAAACTAATTTCCGAATTTGCTTTGTCGTCTACGTGTGATTCTTCAAATAAGTGGATATCGTAGTGAAACCAATTAGCTGATCTAGACAATCATACAAGAGTTTGTCCTCTTCTCAAGAAGTCAGGAACAAATGGACACGTCAAATATACAAATTTTATACTACTGAAATTGTCTAGAGATGTCAATTTTGACGACACAGTTAGTATCATTCGAAAGAGTTTTGGTGAACAGTCATCTCTATTCAGCATCTGTTACAAATGCTTAAAAGTATCCAAAGAACCTGCTGATGATTTTCTCACGTATTCTGGTAATCTGAATCGCACATGCGGATGTTTTAATCTGGGTTTATTAATCTAAAACCAATTCAAGTGTTTGATTTCTGCCTATGGATTACAGTCATCATCTGATTTTGAAACCAGTACTCACATTTTAGCATTCATGGACCAGTATTCATCTATAAACCTCTGAGATGTGATGGCGAAGTATCAGTGCATTCCGAACCTAAAACACGACACGAAACTAGTTGAAAGCAGATGAGATACACATGAAGTGAATGTATTTACTCTGAAATCAAAGCATCAACAGAAATTTTGGTCAGTTGCAAATGTCGAAAGTAGCTTTTCGGTTTTGTGATGGTCAAAGTTGTTGTAAAATATGCTGATACAAAACTAATAAATGCATCAAATCTCAGCGATTTGATCACAAAGACGGGTTTTGTCGCAGTTATAGTACTTTATTTTCTGGTGTAAAGAGATCCAAATCAGTCTCACGTAAGAACGTTCATAGCATTTTTGATTCTTCGAGTGTTCATCTGTCTGGAAAAGTGAAACGTCGCGAGATCATGATAAATAGTATATCTATCAGAATTCCAATTGACATTGGGTCACATATTTCTTGTGGTATATGCTACTTATGTCGGCAGACACAAGTAGTATATAACACCAATCGAAAGTGAAAAGCCTGGAAACATGGTTGGGATGATAGAATTGGAGAGAACTGTAACGGAGAGTAAGTGTTATGGCAATGAAGAAACGATGAAGCTTGTGACAATTGATGTAGGATTTGCAAATGGAGTGCTGGACGTATATTTTTCATATTTGATGAAAGAGCTCGTTAATTTTGTATTGAAACCAACCTGTGTCTTCATTCACTACATAATCTGGTTTTCATGATACTTGGAGAACATTTGGATCACGAGATGTCTTCCACGGAGTCTATCGAAAGCGATACAGTAACTTACAAACTAACATATTACCTTCGTTGTGGCTGACCTCAGAGGACCTGAAGCTATTCTGCAGAAAGAGAGGCCCCCTGGCAATCGTTGATAATTGCATCCTATTTTGTGATCGGGTTGTCATTCCCAATCATCTTCAGAAATCGGTACTGAAGCCCATAGACTTATCGCATTCTGTCATAAGTAGCGTGAAGCCAATATCCCGTGATTGCGTATACTGGCCAAATATCGATAAAGATATTGAAGAGATGGCAAGGCGGTGATACAATTGTGCACTACCCATTAAAGACGAACCTCGAACATGATCAGAACCAATAGAACATTGGTCGCGCCTTCACGCATATTTAGCCGGACCTTTTCAAAGAAAATAATTCCTAACTATCTTCTATGCATTTTCAAAATGGCCGGAAGTCCTCGTAATGGCCAACGTGTCTACCAGTGCAAAACTTACAGAAGTGTTTAGTCGTTTCGTACAATCAAGTGCTATTGTTTCAGAAAATGAAACACAGTCCACTTCAGCCCAGTTTGATAATTTCTGAAGAGCAAACAATTTTAATCATTTCAGGTCTCCTCCAAACCCCCTTCAACCGAATGGTCGAGGGGAGCGTTTTGTTGATTCATTAAAAAGGACTATTCAGGAAGAATAAGGATAAGGAACTGTAGAAGAAATAGTAGAAATAACTACTGTTCTGCAGATTCTATAAAAATTTGAGCAATCACAAGTAGTAGCGAAATGTTTATTGTTGGGTTGTCTGATATTATACAGATGATAGATACCACATAAATCATCACTAATCATTAATCACATAACATATTTTACACCAGCGAATTTCAAATATATATAATTAGTAAGAATGATAAAAACTGAACATTCTCTTCTTCGACGGACATTTTGATTTGAACATTTTTGTCAAATTAAAAGCTTCCTGATTGTCCGCTCGGTTATTTACTCATAAATAGCACTTCATCTATGCAATTGACATTTTTGTGAGAAATACAATTCATTTTTTTTGTCGCTTAAGAGGTCTCATAATATCTATTTGTCAAAGATGTGTACTGCATAATTTTAGACTTATTTTGCATAAGATCAAATTTGATGATAGTATCAGATATGTTGATACTTTGGGGAAATTCATGTTCTCGCCTAATGTCAGCTCACTACTCATCATTGTACAATTAGCTGAAAATATGTTCTAAATATGTGACTATATTGATGATAATAACATAGATGTAGATTGGTTTAAACTCAAATTTATGTCAAACATAATTTACGAGACCGTCATTCAGCTGAAGGATAACTTCAAGACTCAAAGTGATTCACAAAGTTTTATTTAAAAAAAGCATCCCAGTATCATATTTTCAGATTTATAAGTTGTAATAAATGACTTGTGTATTTTACTAAGAAAAATATTACAAATCTACTTACATGTATATTCCCACTTGTTGAGGATTCCACAAGAATGGTGAACCCATGAGATAGATAACCATATAATGAAGATCTGCCATGGCACCGATCGCTAGGAGTACGATAATTATTATAAGTACAATCAGGACTGGATCCAAATGCCTTATACTCTATGGTACAGTATTTATTGAAGATTAATGGAAAAAGAGATAAACGAGAAGTAGACTAAAAGTATTATGTATATTTTGATCGGATATATATATATATATATATATATATATATATATATATCGAAATCGATTAAAATCTATGGATATCGAAAGCATAGTGTGACAGGCTGTTTAAACGTCTCCGCTGATTATTTTCTAGTTGTTTAGGGAGTCAAACTAACTTTTTTAAAACTGGAATGGGACTCGCCAACAGTGCTCATCAACAAACCGTCACGCCGGACTCGAACCCAAGACCTTTAGTCTTGCGCGTGAGTGCTTAAACTCTAGACCACTTAACCAGTATCCAACAGTGTTATTGTCTAACTTCAACCACTATCGATGTGTCCTATACTAGGATGAAACGGCGAGCCAGTGCTTCCAGGTTTTAAATTGTGATCTAACATTTGTCAGATCATAGCTTCAATTCCAACTCAACAATCTCCACAATCCTTTACGGAAAATTTGTTTTATTGGTAAAGATTCACAATTTGTGGTTGTTGTTCAAGTTAGAGACTAACCACTCTCTGTAGTTGTTTTTTGCACCTCTAAAGGATTGACTTTTGTTATGTAGCTAACATAGGAATAAATGAAACTAACTATAGTGTACTATAGTTAGTTCTAATGTACGTATTCTAATGTACAAAGTCTGTGTTCGACCACTCCTCGAATACTGCGCGTTTCTCCTTAGTAGCACGCGCATAAAGGATAAGTTAAGACTGGAATCAGTACAGAGACGATTTACATTTCGTACTCTTGGACCTGATAGTGTCTTGACATATAATTCGAGGTGTAGTAAACTAGGGCTTGACCCTTTATGGATGAGGAGACTGAAACTTAACCTTATCTTCTTTTTCAAAATACTTAACAAACTCTCCTTCACATCCAGTCAGGCGATTCAATATGCTAAGGCTTCACATTACGACATTCGTAATTCCTTGTCTTTAGCGAAACAAACATATTCTAGGTCTTCTCTCTATACGAATTACTTTACCTGTAAGTTTTCTAGGCTCTGGAATAATTTACCCCAAACTATCCGTATGTTAGACTCTCTCCCATTGTTTGTTCGGTCAATTAATGCTTTTTGCTCCTCTGAAAATGCATTAAATGCTCTAGCGCCTGCAAGTGTATCTTACTCCACAAGTGAGATTATAGGAACTTTAAATGTTTAACCTCTTACTTGCTATCATTGTTTTGTTGTTCCGTGCTCTTTGCTTTAATCTTACTTTCTCTAGTTGTAGATAATTAATAATAACTCGCTCTGGCACTGGTAATAACCTTACAGAATAATGTTGGTCAATCATCAGGCTATCCACTTAATAAAAAAATGAAAAGTTCCCTGGTGTTGCATTGGCTTGCCGTGATATATGCCATATTTAAACTGTTTATTAATTACTAAACCAGCAAACATAAAACCTTCTTATAGTTCATGTTTGTTCTCTACATTAAATGTTGATTTTTATAACAATCTGATCATGCCTGTAAACTGGTGTGAATTCTGTAAATATTATTTTCAGAATATATTATTATTATTATTATTATTATTATTATTATTATTATAGCAGCACACATACGATTGAGTTTGTTCATATCTAATTTGGTTAAGCCCTTTCGTTAGCTTATTTAACGGAAAGAGTCATTCGTACAATAACAACTTATCTATACTATTGTACCTTTATTATTATTAATGTTATTATTATTATGTACTCTTGAGCATTGTTTACTGACTACGCATATGTACATATTAATCCTGTTCACTGACCCGTCAACTCTCTTACTCGTTTGCTCGTTGACTCGATCACTTGATCGCTCATTTGACTTGTACTCTCACTCGCTTGCTTTACTTCACTACTCTTTCATGCTTTCTTAACATGGATGTAATTTTGGCAATCTGTTCATGGTGTAATAATAAACGTAATCAACACTTCTTGTTCGCCTTCTGATTTATACACCGTTGGGGTGTTATCGAGTAACGGTTATCAGGACGAAAGAAGGCCCAGGACAGAGTGGGTTGGAGAAAGCTGGTCGGCGGCCTATGCTCCATTGGGAGTAACAGGCGAAAGTAAGTAAGTAAGTAAGTTATCAGGACGAACAAATTACGAAGTTTAAGGATAATTGTGAATATCGACCACCACAGTATCTGTATTTTACTGATGTTTACAGCTGATATCACACTATCAAACTATCTATTAGTAATATACATTTAGAAACAATTGTAATTAGATTAACAGTATCATTTATTAGTGAAGTAAGTGTTATATTACAGTATTTTGTTGACATGTAATTAATTATACATATTGATATCTATCAAAATGGCTGTAATATGAAGCGTTATGTTCAAGTTGAAATCGTCACATGCATTATATAAAATAAAAATTTGTATGATATAACTTTGACAATATATCATTTTTAACTACAGATAAAATTTCGCGAGTCATATCAGTTATATTGATCAAAATTGCTTTATGTTGTTGTCATGTACTTTAAGTTTTATTATTATTAAGAAATTTTATATAGTTGAAATCATGAGTCAATTGAAGCTAGACCACCATGGGAAACCTGGAAGCACTGGATGGCCGTTTCGTCCTATTGTGGACTCCTCAGTAGTGCATATCCACGATCTCACCGTAAGAGAATCGAACCCAGGGCCTATCAGTCTTGCGGGCGATCACTTAACCGATAGACCACTGAGCTGGCATCCAACGGTGTTGATTTCCAAAATCAACCAATCCACAAAATTGAGCAACCATCCACCAATGTCTTCAGTGAGTTGATATCTTCCAACAGACCTTCAAATGACTCATGATTTCAACTATATAAAATTACTAAAATCTCCATAAAATCCCCTTCTCATAATAAAAAATCATTGAAATATTCTTGTTATCTTTTAGTAATGTTCACGGTATATGAACTTACTTTTATTCGCATAATTAGTTTTTCTTTCCGTTCAGGATGGATTTCAAAATTTTGAACTTCATTAGAATCATTGTATTTATCATTATGAGTAGAATTTTCTTGCTTATTATCATCAACATTAATAGGTGATCCATATGCATTATTGGTTTCCGGGAAAATGAATAAAATGATTAAACTTGGTACAAATAAAATTGCATCAGTGATAACCACAGCTTTGAAACCAAATTGATAGATCAATGTTCCTAATAATAAGTATAAATTTATGTATGGTAGCAAGTAAGAGGATAAACATTTTAATTGGTCAGTTATGAAAATGAGTAGGGGAATTTTCGAAAACATTGATTTATTTGTTGAGTTTGTATGGCTTATGACCATTGACTTATATATACATTCATTTCTCATTTTAGTTTCAATTGCTAATCATCACCAAAACATATTCCTATTTCTGAAACGAACTGTAGTCATACTTGCATAATTTATCTTTTCAAATTCTAACTCAAGATTTAAAATTAACTACGTTATATGTAATAGAAAACTAAGAAATAAACTAGCATTCAATAGGAATAATATATTTGTAAAATCTCAGCGAATGAATTTGTAGTAAATCCAACGTTTCGCCTGGCAATCTGGTCCTAGCTTTTTCAAATACTGTGAAACTATTCGCTCTAATTTAGATAAGAGTTCTTATATAAACTAGCATTCAGTTTCTTATTAGGCTAATGTCGTTTCTAATCTAAGCGTTTTATTTTTTATCGTTACAACTCAATAAAATATAAAGAAGTACTATCCTAGGAGATACAAGTGTTTATTAACAGTTGCCTAAGCAAAATACTTTGGATCCGTTGGCCAGACACTATCAGCAACAACCTACTATGGGAGAGAAATAACCAGATTCCGGCGGAGGAAGAAATCAGGAGAAGCGCTGGAAGTGGATAGGACACTCATTGAAGATATCATCCATCTGCATCACAACGCAAGCTCTCATCTCGTATCCTGAAGGCCAAAGGAAAAGAGGAAGGCCAAAGAACACATTACGTCGAGAAACGGTAACAGATATGAGAAGAGCTAACAACGACTGGATAGATCTACAAAGGAAGGCCCAGGACAGAGTGGGTTGGAGAATGCTGATCGGTGGCCAATGTTTCATTGGGATTAACAGGCGTTAATAAGAAAATAAGTAATTCACATCTAATAAATGAAGGTGTTAAAAGCTTGCTATTTAGGGCAGTTTTATTTTCATTGTTCTTTTTTAAACCAAATTTATGTATTCAACAGACCGTAGACTAAAAAGATTCGAAATATTAAATAAACAAAGAAATTTAACATTTTGTGAAATATAAACAAGTTAAGTATACAAACCTCCAATTGGGCCGCCACTTGATGAACATAGTAAAGCTATAGATTCAAACACAGTAAACCAAATCCATGTATCATGGTTAATCTTTTCTGCTGTAACAATCTGACCTCTCTCAGCTTTTTTAGCGTGTGAAATACGCATTATATCAACCACAATTGCTGCTACTTGAGAATAAATTGATAAAAGACCACCACCGAAGAAAGCCTCAAAAAAGCCAGCAAGGAGTAATAGCCAAACATTCAAATTATTTGTTACTATTAGAGCTTTATTTCGAAAAATAGAAAGTCATTGGGATTAAACTAGATGTTGACATTGAAATAAATGAAGCATTAAAGGTATAATTATTTGGAACTTTTAAATACTAACACCATCTACTAGCATGGGATGCATGCATAATTGTAATTTAAAAGTGGTAATAAAATGGAATTATTCAAATAACACATTATGTAATGTCCTAAAGGTTTTAATAAAATGCTGTGATTAGTTTTTTAGCAAAAATGTCGATCAGGGCACTGTTAAAAATTGATTATACACCAAATTACGACTTTCACATTGCCCAATAAACCTTCATATATGATTATAAAGCTTCAAACTCGGTCATTTTGTTTACTGAATTAATGTCTTGAAATCCTTATTGTCAACCTGTTTGGTCTTCATGAGGCATTGGCCACAAACCAAGGATATCCAGTCAAGTTCGTTTTGAACACTTCTTTCTATTTGATCCTACTGGTACTCATCTTCCTTATATCTTCCTCCGATTCCAGGCTCCATATGTTCTTTTGTATACCCTTTTTCCAAGTTAGTAATGTCTTGTAATACAGTCTAACAGTTCCCTCATTGTCTGAGGGACAGTCTATCTACGAAGTGCGAATCATCCAATGCAGTTCACGTTTTCCACTGTGTCGTGCTTTCCATGAGATATGAAGGTCTCATAATTCATCCAACAGTTGACAGGAAAAGATGGGAGTAGACAGCATTTTCTGATACTAGTCTTTACTTGGAATACATCAACCAGTTGCCGAAAAATTATGACTATGCAGTCCAGCCACTCATGGGTGTTGAACAAGAGTCCACGAGACTTTCCTGTTCACTCTGTCAAATTTTTTCTCATTATAAATGAAGTTGATAAGTAGCGATGATTTTCATTCTGTTGAATGTATAACAATGATAATCTGTATTGCAATTTCGTTAGAATATGACCTATCTGCACTAAACCTAACTTGTTGATAGCAAAGCCAAGTGTATGCTGAATCTTTTATTATGTTTAGCAAGAGTCTACTGAACACTTCTCTTGGTATTGATACCAGTGTGATTCTTAAATGGTTTACACATCTGCTAAAAGTATTTTACTTTAATAACTTGATGAGAAATCCCTCTTTTCAGTTGGTTTTGTTTTAGCGCCTAAATATTTTTGAAGAAAACATGGAACTAGTTTTTGAAGTAGCCTCCATATCCGACTTTAATTTCTCAGTAGGTATAGTGATCATGTGTATTTATACGCAAATTACAGATTATGTCACTAAATTCTGATAACCATACAATGAACAGTTAATTTGCAAAATAACCATCAATTGTCTCAATCTTCACTGTTCCTTCTGTAAATATTAGTTCATCTTCTCTGATTTCATTGTTTGTGCAATTTCCTGCCAATTGCGCTTCATTTCAGTTCTTTCCTTATCGGTCTTTTGCCAAAATACATTCTATGGCCAACCATCACCATATACTACTTACATGTATATAAGTAGACCACACCACAGTGCTAACGCTTGTATCATTGTTGTTAAAAACACACCAATTTACTACTCTTTCTCCATTATTCTTTCTTTCTCTTAGTTGACGTCATCTCATCATGTATTTACAACTGGTGTTGCCCATACCATTTATGACGTTCAAGTTTCTTATTAGGATTACTAGGCCTTTCCCTAAGCACCTATCTAGCACGGTACTGCTTTTTACTTATTTTACTTTATGATTTGTGCCATCACTGTGATTCTTCATCACAAAGCTACACCCACAGAAATCCATGTCTTATTGTTTTAAAGTTTGTTTTTATGATCCTGAAGCCCTGAGTTTCTGATGCTATATACAGGTTTCGTGCTTTTTGTATAGTATTAGTGAACTTCCTTGTGTGTGTAGGATATTTTCTTCTTCATGACTGGAATATAATAACAGCTCTCCTGAGTTTAATCTTTTTTACATAGATTTTATACAATGAATTTCATTTTTCTTCTATTTGAAGAACTATTTGAACAACACTGTCCTGAAATTTTATGTATCTTCATCAATCGTGGCTCTAGTTGTCAGAATTGGCATCAACTTAAATGGCTTCTTAAGAATCTAGGTTTTTCTTATGAACCGCTATAACTCCATTTGCAGAGTTTAATTAGTTTAAAAGATTTTTTCTGCTTAGCATTTTTGCACTGAGGTTCATTTTTATGAGGTTAGGTTGGTAATCCTCGTTCAAACCGTTCTCCTTTACCTAAACTTGGGACAGGCACTAACCACAGAGCGCATCAAGACATAGTTGTATCTGGATACAGACCCCTAATAACATGAACTAATATTCTATGATGTATGAAAGAAACTAAAAATTTTATCCATTGTATGTACTGCGGAAATCTCAAGATGTTTTTATTGAACGGGATAGGTGATGAAATACACGTCATCACCGAATAATATTGTCAACACTAGTAATACATTAAAATGCATTAAAATAATAGTTAGATGTAAAAGTACTTTTATGGATTTGAGTGTGCACTAAGTATACAAATTATCTCTTCATGTGTTTAAATTCAAATATCATGCTAGCACGTCAGTATTTCACATGATGGTATAAGTGGTGAAGTGGACAGAGATAAAATAAAGACATCATTTTCATTTATCATAATGCTTTGAAACAGAAGAATCTCATCATGTAACAATATTATCGTCTTTGTTTAAGTATCACTAGATTTTGCTGGAACAATATAACTTCTATAGCTTCAAGAAGGCAGAAGAGAAAAATATATTTCCAGAATAAACAAAATTAGAATTTGAAACATTTCTTAAGATTTCACTTTTCATTCTCTCTTACATATAGATATTGTGTAATCATAGAGTCCCTTCTACATTCATTCACATCACATTAGGATAATTTCCAATTCTTTTAGTGTAAGTCATTTACTTAAAAGACAAACGTCCTTACTATCACGACAAGACGTTGGCTATTTGATAAACTAACTTGCAATTATAGCATTCAGTTGAAAACGTTCAGTAAAGACAGTATATGATCCTATTTTAATTTAAAATTTATTCCACAGAAGAACATTTACATAACAGTATGTTCTTATTAGTTCAGTGGTAAATGTTCATAAGAATAGGCGTTTGCGTAGATTGCAGTGATTTTAATAGTTGATTTCATGAATCTCATACTAAGACGAAACGGCTATCCAGTGCTTCGAGGTTTTCATTAGTGGTCTAGTTTACATCGACTCATGAATTCAACTATAAATGATCATATCAACAATGGACTATTAATATCTAATATAAGTTAACAACACATATAGTAGATCTCAATCATCATCAGTCTGTCAAAAAAAATTAAATCAAACACCATGATAAGAAGAAATTAAAAACTTACCCATTGTTGTTATATGTAAAAATTCTCCAATTAGTAGAATACCTAGAGCAACACGACGACCATATCTATCTGATATATAACCAACTATTAGCATTGATATTAAACCTAATGTTATTCTAACTGCATTTGTAGTAGATTCTAGTGTAGCAGCTTTCTTTTGTGCAGCTGTTAGTTTTATTTTATCATCAGCTGATCTGACATAAAAAGAAAAAAAAATTTGAACTAGTTGTTTGATGAAACGACAGTATTCATTAAGAAAAAAACAGTTATTTAACTCTTTATTTAAGAATATTGAAGATTATTTAATAGCCAGAAAATTATATTTCCCACTATGCATTCAGTGTATACTTGGAATGAACAAATTAAGTTCAAGGATAATTAAGGTCTCTTTAATGAAAAGGGTAGTTTGTTTTAAAACAATAATGCCTTAATTACACAATCATTTTGAAGAGGATAAACTGGGTGATCACTCTTAATATGATTTGGATATTGATTGATATGTTTAAGAGGAATATTTTTTTATTACCCTCACATTTAGAGTAATCTACTGTATCATTTTCTCAGGTAATGAAAAAACAGTATGGTGCTTTTTATTTACTTACTGCGATAAGTGTTTCTGATATGTGGTCTACGTGGTACATTGGACCTTATGAATCCAAAATTATGATAAAGATTTCACCTCTGATGAATAAATGTTTGTTATGTGTTTAATGATATAAAATGGACTGTATAATACACAGAGTAGTATGATATAATATAATGAATGTCACCATAATCAGTCCTATGAATTTCGTTCATCAACTTCCTAGTGATTCTGGAGAATGAATAGCAGAGTTTGTATTTAAATACGTGAATACAAAGAAATGCTTATTTAAGAGATTTCTTAACTGAAAATTTCCTATCAACTTGCAAATAAGACATTTACTAACAATAGTCATACAGAAAATTAACATGAAACTTCTGTGTTTGACTATTTTTTCATTTTATATATTAGACGTCTGGGTCATTAAGTGATGTAAAGACCTCCTTTTATACAAAAAAGTTCTATTGAGCTTCAAGAATTTTTAAATTATCAGCTTTGGTGCTAATAATCATATATTTAATACTCTAGTGATATATTAATGTTTTATTACGACTATACATGACAGTTGTATTGACTTGCTTTAAACTATATATATATTGGTAAGCAGAGATGGATAGTGGCTAGCAGTGGAATCCAGGACGCGCGTTTCGTCCTATTTGGGATTCGTCAGCTGGATGTACCTGCATCTCAGAGTTGATGTTCACTCTGGGACTGGATATATTGATCAACAGAGTAGGATAATTAAGGTTACTTTCTATAGAAAGAAATCCAAAACTGATTTTCGACTCTCAATGAATGGAATAACTTAACTAATATATCATTAAAAAAACTGATATAAATTAAAGCTAGACGGTGTCGCAGTTCGGTGGATTGGTTGAATTTAGGCATCAACGCAGTTGGATACCGGCTCAATGGTTTAGGGTTTAAGCATTCACATGCGAGATCAATACATCCTTGGTTCGAATCCCGCGGACGAGGTCGTGGGTGAGCACTGTTGCGGAGTTCCATAATAAGACGAAATGTTCGTTTAGTACTTCCATGCTTTCCATGATGGTCTAGCCCTAATTGACTAAGGAATACAACTATTAAATTACTATAATATGCACGAAACCCCCTTCTGATGATGTAAATTAATCCATGCTGTTTTTTTTAATTTTTTACTATAAATCAGATAAATTTTGTACTATTCTTAGTGTTTACAAATATGATCCTGGTAAATAAAATCAATCAATATTTAGTGTAAAGATTCAATAAAAAACTACTAATTGGAAATTTTCATTTTTCTAAACATTTTCAATAAACAAAAAAATTTCTTAATACTTAAAAAAAACAAAAAAAAATTGGTTGACTTACAAATTTGCATATTTATGTCTTTCTTGACGTGTTAAATATGGTAGACCTTGTTCTGTTACCGCACTTCCATTAGAAAAAAAAATTACAAAAATAATTGATATAATTAAGTAGTATAATATACTTCTATTAAAAATTTATAAAGGTATTTATTATTTTGAAATATATCAGTATAAATGAAACTATTTAATAGTTCACACATTAGTCCATTTATCATTTATTCAAGTTAATTAACTGTTTATTTAACAGTGGATAAAATATATTATGATTAAATATAGGTTAAATTCACTTGGTATTGTTTGTTTTGATCTTCACATTGATGTTTAAGACTGCAAATTATCAGTTTATTATTGGTATATGTGCATACTGTGTGTCGATGTTCGCTCTGAGATGCAAGTACATCCAGCTGATGAGTTTCAAATAGGACGAAACGCGCGTCCTAGATTCCACTGCTAGCCATTATACATCTTTACTTATGATGCTTGTGAATTAAGGCTATATAGAGGCAATAAGCACAGTATGCACATATGCCAATAAGAGACTGATCAACTGCAGTCCTAAACATCAATGGCAAGATTCAAACAAACAATACTCAGTGAATTTAAACTTCACCCCATTGTACAAGCAATTGGCTATCACGACTCAAAAGTCGAGTTGATAAAGCCATGGCGTTCGAAGCGAAAGATACTGGGTTCGAGTCACAGAGTGAACATCAACTTTGAGATGCAAGTAGATCCAGCTGACGAGTCCTAAATAGGACGAAACGCGCGTCCTGGATTCCACGGCTAGCCACTATTCACCTTTGCTTATAAACGTAGGTTAAGTTTGCTTTTTGTTTAGCTTTTAGTTTTTATTTCTTGTTTTTCTTCTTATATCTAGATTATATTTATTTGCTTTTTAATCAAGTTGTTTTGATACTCTATAAAGTGTATGAAACTGTAACCTTTTTCTATGAATTTAAGATAGATAGTATCCATATTTTAGAGCTTAGAGTGAAAAATGAACTTGTCATCAATTAACCGAAGTATTTACCAACTTTCTTGACTGTTTTCGGTTTGTTATAGATATTTCTTATACATCTAATATTGTTACTGATCTAGTTCACTTTCAGCCATTAACTTTAGGAATTTATAATTTCTATGTCACTCCAGAATGATTGTTGTTTGAACCAACTATATAAGTAAATTAAGTTATCCTTCCTTAAATCACATTTATTTATCCTAAATAGCTGGTTTTATTTTGTTCCATTTTGTCGGTCTACTGATTCAAAAACTCCTAACAGTATCTGATCATTCTGTACTGAATTGATTCAATAGTGGAATTTGATATTATGATGAAAACTTAAGGTCTGAAAGTTATTCATAAGCTTATCAATCATATGTAAACTAAACTTGTATTACGTTGAATGGGGTTCGGAGCTTGAGTCTATCCGACTTGGAAGATGAGTGAACAACTAATAAAAGTGCATAATCTATTTCCAGTTTTATCTCAGGGATTCACCTAACAAGGAATTGAATTTAAACGTATTGCACAAAGCTAAAACAATTTAGAAGCTTAATACCAGGTAATTTTAAGTAAAAAAAATGATTCAGCTACATGAATAAGTCACTAACAGTCTTATAGTGTATCATATAAGTTAATCTAGACCTACGAATGCACGTGATACAAAGACAATAAGTGAAATATGAGAAAAAAATTGTTGGGAACAACGTGATTTTAATTTACTTGTAAAATACATATTGATCCGAAGTGAAAAGACATAGTTCAATTGATAGGTATAATGTGACTGTCATAAGCATAAGAAGCGCGATATATTTGCATTTAGTTGTAATACAACCTTTACCAAGTTTTTTGTCAATCATTGCAAAGGAAAGAATATATACTGTGATACTATTGAAGTTCTTGTTAAGATGATGAAATAGATGAGTTTGTCTGCAAAATGATTAGACTTATTCCAAAATATCTTGTAATGTTCAGATTGTTTTCTACAATATAATAAACGAACTGCATAAATGTAAATAGAAGAGATAAAGGAGTGATTTGCAGTAGCTTTATTTATTTATTTATCGTATTTGATGCTAATATGAATGTTTCAATCACCAGAAGTAGAGTAAAATAGAATAGAGTATACTTTTATGAGAAAGTAGTAGTTATAGTATGATTTTCCTAATTCTTAAACAATGTAGAACTATAAATGAAAACTTAAGTCTTCCTCTTTACTTCTAATGTAATAAGTTGTCTCATAAAATTATGAATGCTGAGTATAATTAACTAATTATCTTATTCTGTTTTTGTATAGCCTAGTTAGACACCATGTCAGATCAAAGTAATGACACATCACTTTGTCGTTTCATTTCGATTATAATAATGAAATCAATACATTTGAATACTCGTAAAAAGATACCATTTTCGCTTCAGAAATTATTTCAAGTCATATCAAGATAATTTTCAGAAGCTTATAAGATTGAATAATTGAATTTCAACTATACATTACATATAAAGGATCCAAAGTAATCATCAGATCACTATTTCAAAATTGTTATTTCTCCTCTGTAATAACTCTATTGATGTTACTGTCGGTGATGTATTCCACTACTTAATATTAAGTACGTAAGATGAATAGGTGAGCTCTATCAATTTATATATACATAATTAACTGATACCCTGTTCAGAGTAATTAAGTTTTGGTCAACTATGCAAAATGAACTTTTTTTATAATTTAAGTGTTTGTATTATTCAAAGTTTTATATACCTGTACTAATCTAATGGAATCATAGAATTATATGATCTGAATTGATGTTTCTATAAATCATACCAACGACTTACCATCACTGTGTTAGTAAAATTAAGTCACAATAATATTTTATATTTAGAATTTAAGTAGATGAGTAGATTGAAAAGTTTTTCATTGGTTTAATCGACTATTCACTTATTGGTCTTAAATAGCTTTAACAATACAAATTATATCAATAAATAATATTTATAAGTATAAGGGTTGCTAAGTTTAGATTGATATATTATGAGTGGAACAAATATTAGACCACCATTAAAAATCTGGATGCAATAGACGGCAGTTTCGCTTTAGTACAAGACTCCTCAGAAGTGTGCATCTACGATCCTGCACGCAGGATATAGTAAATATATTGAAACTGGATTATTGAAATGAATTGTATAGATGTCATTAGTATATCGTTTACTAAAAATTGTCATAAAATACATCAGTCAATAGCTTACTTCCTAAAATACCTTACAACACAGAATTAAACACAGTGATGGCCTGGATATAAGGTTAAATAGAGTATTCAGAAAGTTTTTCTAATCATATTTTTAGCCATGGAAATCTTGCGTTTTACGTCATTTCATTTTTATTAGAAAACAACAAACAACTCATTTGACAATAAACATTTCAAATAAAGAATTTACAATAATTCACTATATACCGTAATAAAACCCCATACTATTCGATACTAAACAGTCTGGTTGTTTTACAAAAGATCGAGGAAAAAAGAATAAAGGAAAATACATAATAACAGATTCAGTATGTATGCATTGAATACTGCGAAAATCATGTAGTCTATTTATATAAGAGTATGACAAAGCATTTTATATTAAACAAACAAAATTAAAATAAGTCAGCTACGAGATATAACAAAGTTTTTATCATGGAAACTTTAAATCACAAACAAAAACTTATTCCAGCAAGATAGTTAGGTCTTTTTGACGTCTTACACAAGAATTACCATGTTGAGATTCAAAGGGATTAGGTATTGGACCATTCAAAGTACCCCGTCGTTCAGTACGCATTGAGAACTTATTCATTGTGAAGCAGTTAGAACGACAATAATCTGGTGTACGTAAAACACGTTCGCATAATTTAAATAAGTGTCTTACTTTAGTGGAAGGCAGATCACACAAGAAAAAAGGAATGAAAGAGATGATGAAAGAATGGCCTCTTGAGGCATACTTAATTTGGTTAACAATCTATTAAAGTACTTTCCCTTTTCGTAGCTATAAGTTCCAATCATCTTTAATACGATGTCTTTACTAAATAGTAAAATTACTTGACACGGCTTTTTTGTTAAAATAAACTCAAAGCATAAGAGTTGTTTGCCAAAAACTTCGATTGTGATAAAATAGGTAGCTGTGATAATCGCGTTAGTCATCACAGGCACCTACAAATTATCTACGTTTACTATTTGTTTGTTTGAAATTAAGGAAGTTTTCATATTGTGTGTCTACTGTTGGTTCGGCAAGATAAATAGCAAGGTATGATGTAAATTCAAGATAATATAAACCCAGCGGTCCACAGAAACCTCTAAACGTCGGCATCGTTCTATTCGTTCTATTCTAAATTTCACAGAAAATAACACATCTCGCTATTTCGGATTTCCTTGGTTGACGAGTGCCGGATAGCATCAAAGCCAGATAAACAACCTTTTTATCCATTCGTTTCCAGGCACTAAACGCTAGACAAAATCTGTCGATAGGTCGAGTCACTGAAACAAATTATTAGATTGCGATCTGACTTATAAAATGTAAACAGCATTAAGAACCAAACAATATGGGATCGGTCACTGCTTTATGACTAATTAGTGTATAATGTTTAACACCATAATTGAGTAGTTATATTTCGTAACAGCTTTGAAGGATGTAAAAACCTTTACATATCTGGGAAGCATCATCGATGAACAAAGTAGATCTGATGCAGATGTGAAGACGCGGATCGGCAAAGCAAGAGCGGCATATCTACAATTGAAGAACATCTAGAACTCAAAACAACTGTCAACCAACACCTAAGTCAGAATTTTCAATACAAATGTCAAGGGAGTTCTACTGTATGGGGCGGAGACGTGAAGAACGACGAAAGCCATCATCCCGAAGATACAGTTGTTTAATAACAGTTGTCTACGCAAGATACTTCAGATCCGTTGGCCAGACACTATCAGCAGCAACACACTGTGGGAGAGAACAAACCAGATTTCAGCAGAGGAAGAAATCAGAAAGAAGCGCTAGAAGTGGATGGGACACACATTGAGGAAGTCACCCAACTGCGTCACAAGACAAGCCCTCACATGGAATCCCGAGGGTCAAAGGAGAAGAGGAAGATCAAAGAACACATTACGCCGAGAAATGGAGACAGAAATGAGAAGAATGAACAAAAACTGGACAGAACTAGAAAGGGAGGCCCAGGACAGAGTGGGTTGTAGAATGGTGATCGGCGGCTTATGTTCCATTGGGAGTAACAGGCGTAAGTAAGTAAGTAAGTAATGTCACTTAACACTAAATATTAATCTTGTTGATACACTACTGATGAATGAGGACTAATAGAGGCGTTAGTTTAGGATTTATTTCCATTTCATATTTAAGATATGAAGATTTACGGATTTAAACTTGAAGTGCTGGCTAAGTCATCATAATTTTGTTAAATATTTTGATGACATTCCAAAACAAACTAAGAAGATGCCATACAAGGAAACCAATTACTTATTAAAGATGATTATATAAAATTGTTGATAACAATTACAACACTAGTCAGAAACACAAATGTTTAGGAAGTATAGTTAATAAGACAGAACTGTTCATGCTTCTCTGATTGAAGACATCCTTGAAGAGTTTTTTTCAATACAACCAATGCACCATATTATTCCATTTATATGTTTATCAGATGAAAACAACATTTTCATATATTTCATTCACAAGTACTGTGTAGTTTCTTCTTACAACTTGTTATAATTCATATATTCCTTAAACTGAGCTCCTCAACTTCTCCATAAACGTCTTCCTTTATCGGGAAGAATAAATCAAATGTATACAGATCATATGTCAATCTTGTGGGTTCAGTTACAATGTATATGTATTTTTGTTTGAAGAAAATACATTGATTTGCATCAAACAAACATTTCTCTTAAGATTGTTGACAATTTTATGGATTACTTACATAATAATCATCATGCTCTAAATCAAAAGTCCAAACAATTAGTTTTAAGTTATTGTCAAGGATCACAAATGTATCTCTCTTAAAGCAAATAAACATGAGACTATTTCTGTAATAAAGTAATCTTTAATTGTTCCTTTATATTTACACCAATATATACTTAATTACTTACTTCCTTACGCCGGTTACCCCTCATGAAGGAGCATAGGCCGCCCAGAAGCAACCGCAATCCAACCCTGTCCCAAGTAATCCTTTACAGTCATTTCCAGTTACTATTCATTCTTTTCATGACTGCTTCCCATTCCCGATCTAGTATGTTCTTCGGGCTTCCTCTTTACCGTTTCCATTCACGTTTCAAAGCTAGCGTTTACCTCGTGATACAGTTTGTTGATTTCCTCAATGTGTGTCCTTTCTTCTTCCAACAGCTTTTCCGAATTTCCTCTTCAGATGGAAGTTGGTCTGTCCTCTACCACAGTAGGTTGTTACTAATGGTATCCAGCCAACAGACACCAAGTATTTTGAGCAGACAATTATTTATAAATACTTGTATATTTTTGATGATCATTGTAGTACTTCTCGAAGTTTCATTTCCATACAGTAGAACTGTCTTGATGTTCGTTTTGAATATTGCCACTTTGATATTGGTTGACAGACGGTTGCTTATAGTTGCATGTATCCTTCACTTGTATGAATACTGTCCTTGCTTTGTCAATCCTCGCTTTTACGTTTGCATCCGATCCTTCACGACCATCGATGATGATGTACAGATACGTGAAAGATTCCACATCTTCCAGAGCTTCTCCATCAAATGTGATTGGGTTGAAGTTTTCAGTGTTGTATTTGTCTTTTTTTTATGTATGTTTAAATCAAATGATTCAGAAGTTGTTGTAATAAGCAAAGTTCACCACGTTGACAAATCATTTGGCA